TTTAAGGCCTCTGTTTTTATGTTGATTTTCTGTCCGGATGATCTGTCCATTAGTGTCAGTGTGGTGTTAAAGTCTCCTACTATGCTGGTGTTATTGTTTATCTTTGCCTTTATGTCAGTCAATATTTGCTTTATATATTTAGATGCTCATGTGTTAGGTGCATAAATGTTAACTAGGTTGATGTCCTCTTGTTGAATTGATCCCTTTATTATTATGTAATGTCCTTCTTTGTCTTTTATTATAGTCTTCATTTTAAAGTTTATTTTGTCCAAGTATTGCTACCTCTACTTTTTTCTCATTTCCGTTTGAGTGAAATATTTTTTTCCATCCCTTTTCTTTCAGTCTCTGTGTGTCTTTCGATTTGAGGTGGGTCTCTTGTAGGCAGCGTATGCATGAGTCTTGTTTTCGTATCCATCCAGCTACCCTATGTCTTCTGATTTGAGCATTTAATCTATTTACATTTGAAGTGATTAGTGATAGGTACATAGTTACTTTATTCATATTTTTTATCTTCATTTGTTTTCTTCTTTGTTCTGCTTAATGAAGTCTTTTTTTTTTAACATTTCTTGTAATATTGGCTTAGTGGCAATGAATTCTTTTAGCTTTTTCTTGTCTGGGAAGCTCTTTATCTTTACTTCAATTTTAAATCATAGTCTTGCTGAGTAGAGTAGTTTTAGTTGCAGTCTCTTGTTTTTCATCACTTTGAATATTTCCTGCCACTCCCTTTTGGGCTGCAACGTTTCTGTTGATAAATCTGCTGATAGTCTTATGGGAACTCACTTGTAAGTAACTAGTCTTTCTCTTGCTGCTTTTAGGATTCTTTCTTTGTCTTTAACCTTTGCCATTTTAATTATGATGTATCTTGGTGTGGGTCTGTTTGGTTTCACCTTGTTTGAGACTCTGTGCTTCCTGGGCTTGTACTTGTATATTTATTTCCTTCACCAGCTTAGGGAAATTTTCATTCATTAGTTCTTCAAATAGCTTCTCAATCTCTTGCTCCCTCTCTTCTCCTTCTGGTACTCCTGTGATGTAAACATTATTATGCTTGATGTTTTCCCAAAGGCCTTAAATTTTCCTCATTTAAAAAATTTTTTTTTTCTTTTTGTTCTGATTGGGTGTTTCCTGCTACCGTTTTGTTGTAATTTGCTGATTTGATCTTCTTCATCATCTAATCTGCTGTTGATTTCTTCTAGTGTATTTTTCATTTCAGTTATTCTTTATTTCTGACTGGTTCTTTTTTATGGTTTCTATGTCCTCCTTTATGCTTGCTGTCTCTTTGTTGAAGTTCTGACTAAGTTCCTTAAGCATTCTTATAACCTGTGTTTTAAACTCAGTCTCTGGCAGGTTGGTTGCCTCTATTTCACTTAGTTCTATTTCTGGAGGTTTCTCCTATTCCTGTATTTGGGACATGTTTCTTTGTTTCCTCATTCTGGCTGCCTCTCTGTGTTTGCTTCTATGTATTAGGTAGATGTCCTATGCCTTTCAGTCTTTTCTGGGTGGCCTTATGTAGTATGTTTCCTGTATGGTTCAATGATTCAGTCTTCCTGATCGCCTCTGTGTGTGTTCTAGGATTGTCCCTTGTGTGTGTGTTGTGTGTTCTCCTGTTGTAGTTGAGCCTTGCTTTCTTCTGGTGTGTCCGTGGATGGGATTGCCTTCCAGACTGACTGACTGTTAGGATTGCATATTCCTACAGTGTATGAGCTGCTGTGTGGATGCTGATCCTTTAGAGGGGGATTCGCTCATGTAGGTTCTTGTTCCTGTGAGACCACCCTTTGGGTGTGCCGCTTGTGGGGCTAACCAGGTCGTGCTCTGGTGTGGTCTGAAGCTGGCTTCTGGGTGTGTTATTTCTGGTGTCTCTTAGGAAGGTCTTCTGTGCAGGCTAATGTTAGCCTTGCCAGCCACCATTTGCCTCAGCCCTCAGGTTCCCGAGAGCTGCCCAAGATAGGCTGCAGCACAGGGTCTGAGTCACAGCCCATCAACAGTTCCTGGGCTGCTGTGGACTGTCCGCTACTTAAGAGGCCTCTGCAGCTTGTGCAGGTGGGGCCCACTGCTCAACAGCTGAGAATGCTCCAGGCAATGCAGCACCAGCCGTGTGGGGCAGGAACCTAGAGTGTCACTAAGGTGATGTGTACATGCGGATTTCACCAGACCAATGCGGTCTCAGATTTGGCTCTTTGGAGGAGGCTTTGATGTACAAAAGATGGCACCCTCCTATAGGCTACACAGGAGGCAGGCTCCGTACAGAGATAATGGCGCCTATCTCTCCAGCCCTTGCTCTGGAGACACACAACTCAGTCTTTCCCCGTGTGTCCCTGGCGCCCCTCGAGCTGCCTCCCCTCTAGCAGAGACAGGTGAATATTTGCAAGCGAGTCTGTGTGTGGGCTTTTTAAATGGGCATCTGGATTCCAGCTGCCTTCTGTCTCACCAGGATGGGCAGACAGAGACCTCGCTGGTTTTTACTGTCAGATGTTGTGGGAACTCCTCTTCCTGGTACAGGAAGCCTGGGCTGGGGAGCTTGGAGTGGGACTGGGACCCCTCCCGCTTCTGGGAACCTCCGCCACCGAGGTGTCCCTCCCAGTGTTCACCCACTATCTGTGGGTTTGGGGTTAGTCCATTTCACATCTCCACCCCTCCTACCAGTCTCCATGTGGCCTCTTCTTTATACTCGTAGTTATAGGGGTCCTGTTCAGCTAGTTTTCAGATGATTCTTGAGGTTGATTGTTCTGTAATTTATTAGTAATTTTGGTGTGATCCTGGGAGGCAACAGGCATAGTGTTTATCTAATCCACCATCTTGGACCTATTGCCGTTCTTTTTTTGCTTTTACTTTATTTTGAAGTAATGATAGATTCACATGTTGTAAAACATATTACAGACATATCCTGTGTACCCCTGACCTGGTTTCTTCCACTGGTAACTTCTTGTAACTATAGTAGAGTATCACAACTGGGAAATTGTCCTTGATACTGTCCATTGACCTTATTCAGATTCTACCAGTGTCACATGCACTCATTGTGTGTGTGTGTGTGTGTGTGTGTGTGTGCGCGCGCGCGCGTGTGTGTGTGCACGTGTGCATGCATGTGTATTTTGTTCTGTAGTATTTTACCACATGTATAGGTTACCATTTCTTTTTCAACTTAGGAGGGAGATAAGGGTCAGATAAGTTATGTTAAATGCCTAAAGTGTAGACCTAGGGTTTGAATTTAGGTCTGTTTGATTCAAAGTTTTGCTTTTTAAGTAATAGTAGTGATAAATAGCGATAGTGATCAATTATAACAATGGCCAAACCTCACTGAGTGACATATAAAACAGATTGAGTGCTTATTTCATTCCAGTGACAGTTCTAATGCATTAACTCATTTAATCCTCCCAGTAGGTATACCTCAAATTATATCACAGTTGTAGTGTCATTAATTAAACTAATCATGTTACTGAGGAATAGGTAATGATTTTTACTATCCCTGAAATCAGCAATAGTGAAATTCTTCCTTCTTTTTATATAATTTCGTAATTTGAACCTCTGACCTTAACCAGTTGGCAATGCTGATTACTAAGTGTGCGTGCGTGCGTGCGTGCGTGCGTGTGTGTGTGTGTGTGTGTGTGTGTTTGTATGCTTGTATGTGTATGTATGAAGTGCGACCTGTATACACTGAGTTAAGTTTAGGTACCTTAAAAATATTTGCTAAGTTGTAAATAAGAGCTAGTTTAGGCAGGATGCCAGGGTTTTCAGGGAATAAATACAAACCACCAAGCATACTCAAGAATGTAATTCTTTTTCTAGAGTATTTTAGATTTTTTTGGCCAGATACAGCCCCAGGAATGTTTGAATTTAATCAAATCTCTCAAGTTACATATCTAACTTTCAAAGTGGGCCCTAATGCATTTAGTTGTGAATTGTCACTGATTATCAGAATATGTAATGCTTTAGGAATATAATAGATATACTGATCAGCAGTCCATAATTTACTCTATGATTCTTTGCTAGTTAAGTATCTTGTAAAGCTGTCCCTGTGATGAACAGCAGCACTTATTCAGACCAGAAGTAACAACAGTCCCATGTGTTGTAGATCCCAGGAGATCTTGGTGTTTTTGTAGACAGCAGACAGAAATAAAAGGAATTTTGTCCTTTTTACCTCATGTAATCCCACTGGAAAATAAAACATGTGCTATGAGTTGATATTGACTTCTGCCAGGTCACCTCCCTGAAGAGTCTCCGGCAAGGACCGTTGCAACATTTTTTGGACAGGAGTCTGACGGCCTCTGAACGAGATGGATGGGTTATGCCGTGCGCGCTACTGTGGAACACTGCGCTACTGTCTGCTCCTGGAAGCTTCCAGCGAGGAGCACCAGGAGTACCCTGCATCTCTTAACTCTTTCAGGGTCTGTCACCTCCCCCCAAGTTAGAGTCAGATTTAAACTAAGTTCTACATAGTTATTGTTGTTTTTTTAAAACGGGTGACTGAAATAGTGCAGCATCAACGATGGTTTACTCTGCACTACTTCTTAGAGCTTGATTTTGGATGTTAGTTAATGCAGAGGGCCTTGAAGCTCTATGTTATTAGGAACGATTTGGAAACCACAAAACCTTTTTAGTGGACCACTTTATCAATTTTCTACTCTTCTAAGGAAGTTTTTCCTATTCATGACTCATTTCACTCTTTGGCTAAAATTGAGGGAATGTAATAACGATTAAGGAAAGGAATGTATGCCTTTTCTTTTTTTTGAAAGCTTGTACACATTTTCTGTCTCAGGTTATGTAAACTTGGAGGACTGCAGAATGTTGACAACTGTGAAAGGTAAAAACTAGCCCGTTAATACATACTTCTTTGGAATTGAAAAATCAAAAAGCTTCCTTTGCTTCTTTGGAGAAGTGTTTTGCTGGATGGCCCAGAATACAATCCAGTAAAAAAGACATGTTCCAGCCGCCACTTACACACACCTTAAGCGAAATTAATGAGATCACTCTAAGATTACGCTTTGTGTTTTATTTTCATTTTATAGGTCTGTATGAGCTGCTGGCTGCTCTGCCAGCCCAGCTGCAGCCACATGTGGATAGCCAGGAAGACCTGACCTTCCTCTGGGATATGTTTGGTGAAAAAAGCCTGCATTCACTGGTAAAGGTAAACCATGCTGATGTCAGATTCTCTTCGCGGAAAAACATATGGAAAAATATTTTGAGCGCCATCTAGTAAACCAGAGATCAAATTGTTGCTCTCTGAAAACAAAACAGCCTTGTTCCATTTCACTGATGGGCGTGGAAGTTGTTAAAGATTCTACCAAAAATACATAGATGATTTCACTTAATGGTGGGGATCTCGCTGTGCATACTAATGCAGCAAACATGTGGTTGCCCTTGTTTAGAAAAAGAATATGAAATAGTAGCAGGAAGGTTTAGACTCCTTATGGTCAACATTCATGAGCTGGAGTTTAACTTAAATAAATAAATGTTCACAGCAAAAATTAGAAGGAATATATTTTCTGAGGTTAAGGATGGCAGCAGTTCAGTGGCCACATTAATTTAAAATAATTTCCTTTAACAAAGTCAACTGAAATTCCAGCAAGCTATTTCTTTTCTTGGCACAACGCCACTGAAATGGTACTTTGTGTATAAATACACTGAAGCTAAATACGAATGAAAACAGTTTTTTGAGACGGTTTTAGTAAAGCATCATGCCATGAAAATGATCAGCTACCAGAATTCAGATCTTGCCACAGAGCAATACTGGGAGTGATCAGAATTCTTAAAATAGTAAAACGAGAACAAGAAACTTACTGGAAAATATGCCACTCTTGCTTCTGGAAATATGAATTGCAGTTTCTCTCATTGAACTCAAGCTGAAAGAAATGTAGAGTCTTATTTGAGTCTGTGGGAGCTACAAACCTATGATGCCTCAACAGTATCCGGACCTGTATTTAATTCAGCCAAATTTGTTATGGTTGTGTATCATGATAAGAGGCTTTTAATTGCTGTAGAGTATTTGAAAACGAGCAACCTCTGAATTGCAATTGCTTCACAGGACAGGAGAATTCATATTACATTTTTTTTTTTATTGTCTAATTTGAAACTTGTGTGCCTCAAATAGTGGCTAAGTATCAAGAAGTGAAAGTGGCATTTTTTTCCTAGCACAACATTTAAAGACTAGTATGTTTTATTTGTTTATTTAGTTTTCATATAATTGCCAAGATATTTTTGTGTTCTGAATAATTTTATGTTGTTTAGTTGCTTTCTTGGGATGTGTTAGAAATAGTCTTGGGATTATAGTTGATAAAGTTTATGACTTACTGAGGCAACTATGAAAAAATATTCCTGTGTTAAATGTGTGGATGTTGGATAGGTATGGATTTGTTTAGATTGATTCGATCTTTTGATAGGAATAAAATATATTTCAAATGGCATCATGACCCCTTAGTCATTAAATAGATGCCCCAAAACAATGGCCGCATATGTGATTGTACTTATAATGTGGCTACTGTCTCAGTTTCCCTACCTATAAAATGGAAATTATAATATCTGTTGACAAGGTTGGTTGTGAATTTCAAATAAAATAGTGACGATCTCAGTTCTTTGATAGTTATAGGCTCAGCAAATAGATAGAAGTGTAGGCATTCTTAAAAATTAGGGAAATTTTTAAGTATCATAGCATGTGAATGACCAAAAAGAATGACATACCTTTTACCTCATGTAATCCCACTGGAAACAACCACAGAGGTGGTTGTTTTTATTAAAAGAATAAAACTAATGTGTAAAATATTCTTAGTTACATTGCTGTTGACTTTTAAGCATAAGTTGATTTTTAAATATATATATCCAGAAGTGGTTAGGAAGTTTACTGGAGAGCATTGGTATCTGGTTTTATAAAAACAGGGAAGCCAAATCAATTGATGTTGCCAGTATTTACACAATAATGTGTACTATTCCAAATGTTTTTCAGTAGTTGCTTTAAAATATATTTTTACAATTAATTTTATTATGTACCTTTAGTACATTCTCAGTTCTTAGTTGTTTCCCCGCACTCCCAGTTTTTATCAGTGCACCCCCGAGTGCCCTTGGACTGACCCTATTCTATTAGTTTTCAAGGATGTAAAGCTTAAAATGCCTCCAGGAGGCAGGCTCCTGGGATTGTAGTTCAAACATTTGGAACAAACTGCTTTACTGTCTACCAGGTGCCTCTATTAGAGGGTGGAGGCTAGAAGCCTTCAGCTTTTGTATGTAAATCCTGGTACAAGAGCAAAAGGAATTTGTTTGAAAAGATTTGTTTTAGGATGAATCAAAATGTGCTTCCATGTTATGTTCTTTTGTTGGTTATGTGATTTAGAACCAGGTCAACACAAAATGTGATTTTATTCTAGCACAAAATTTTCATGGTTGTCATTTATGTAAAAAAAAAGTGGTTGATAAATCATAACACAGTTTTAAATACATATAACTTTATGGTCCAATGTAAACTATACTTAAGAGGCAGTTTTGGCATCGCCCTCTGTGACAGGTATGACATGCCACTTTAGGCTATTGAGCCGCACTCGGGCAGGAATACTGTAGGTTGTGAGCTTTTCACTGGAAAGAAAATATGATCCTATAAGGTGTTAGCTATGGGTTTTCTTTTAGAAGAAATATTTCTAAATAGAAAGGTTGAATAAGAAAAACTGTGAGCGGGCCAGCTGAGTGGCGCGATGGTTAAGAGCTGGCTTGGGACGCCAGAGAGCCCCGGTTCGGATCCCACATGAGGGCCAGTGACACTGCCCTCTACAGCTAAGATGCCGAACAACAGCTCAACCTGGAGCTGGGCAGCTGTGAGTCGCCGGTGACCATGTAGGCTGCAGCCCCTGCTGCAGTGGGTTAAATAATAAAAACCAAAAATAATAAATAAATAAAATTAAAAAAAAAAGTTCTAAGTTATAAAAAAAAAAAGAAAGAAAAACTGTGAGCATGAGATTTTAGAAGTATCAGAAGAAAGATGGTACTGATAGAAGACGTTGAAAGTATCATATATAAGAACGGAATATATATTTTAAGTGTAGCAAGACGGTGTTTATATTCACATGATCTAGTGAATGTGATAGACCACCAATAAGCATAGAGCCACATTTTTTTCAATCGAAGTGTAATTGATGTGCAACATTATATTAGTTTCAGGTGTACAACATAATGATATGACCTTGACCCTTGTATACATTGTGAAATGTTCACCACAGTAAGTTTATTTACCCTCTGTCTCCATAAAAAGTTACTGTTTTTTTCTTGCGATGATGAGAACTTTTAAGATTTGCTTTCTTAGCAACTTTCAAATTTGCAATACAGTATTATTGACTACAGTCACCATGCTGTGCTTTACATCCCCACGCCTTCTTTATTTTGTAAGTGGAAGTTTGTACATCTTGATCCCCTTCTCACCCACCCCCAACCCCCTGCCCTTTGGCAACCACCAGTCTGTTCTCCGTATCTATGAAATTTGTTTTGTTTGTTTTGTTTTTTAGATCCCACATATAAGTGAAATCATGTGGTGTTTGTCTTTCCCATTTTACTTAGCGTGATTCCCTCAAGGTCCACCCATGCTGTTGCAAATGGCAATATTTCATTCTCTGTTTGTGGCTGAATAATAGTCCATTGTATATATATATATGTACCAAATCTTTACCCATTCATCCATTGATGGTCACTTAGGGTGTTTCCATATCTTGGCTGTTGTAAACAATGCTGCAATGAACATAGGGATGCATATATCTTTTCAAATCAGTGTTTTTGTTTTCTTTAGGTAAATACCCAGAATGGTAGTTGCTGAATCACATGGTAGATCTATTTTTAATTTTTTTAAAATAATTATTAGTTTCAGGTGTACAAAACAATCCAATAGTTATCCTTTTCACCCCTCACAAAGTGACAACCCCCCCCCTTATCCACTGTCCCCCCACTCCCGATATCATGCTTATCTATTACAATTCCATTGACTCCATTCCCACACTCTACTCCACGTCCCGTGACTATATGTATATATAATTATAGTTGACATACAATATTATTCAACATCAGCTTCATAAATACAGTGCGGTGGTCAGGCCTCTACACTGTCTATGAAGTGATCTCCCTAACAAGACATGAGAATTTCCATACTGTTCTCCATAGTGACTGGACTAATTTACATTCCCACCAACAGCACAAGAGTTCCCTCTTCTCCACATCCTTGCCGACACTTCTTCTCTTTTTGATAATAGCCATTCTGACAGGTGTGAGGTGATATCGCATGTGGTTTTGATTTGCATTTCCCTGATGATTAGTGATGTTGAGCATCTTTTCATGTGCCTATTGGCCATCTGTATGTCTTCTTTGGAAAAATGTCAGTTTAGATCCTCTGCTCATTTTTTTTTTCCTGTCATCACCTCTGCTCATTTTTTAACTGGATTTTTGTTTTGTTTTGTTTTTTGTTTTTGTTATTGAGTTGTATGAGTTCTTTATATATTCTGGATATTGACCCCTTATCAGATATATGACTTACAAATATATTTTCTCACTCAGTTAGTTAGCTTATCACTTTGTTGATGGTTTCCTTTGCTGTGAAGAAGCTTTTTAGTTTAATGTAGACCCATTTGCTTTTCATTTTTTTGCATTTGCTGCCCTTGCCCTTGGAGTTAGGTCCAAAAAATCAGCACCATGATCGTTGTCAAGGAGCTCACTGCCTATGTTTTCTGCTCTGAGTTTTATGGTTTCAGGCCTTACTTTCAAGGCTTTAATCCATTTTGTGTTACTTTTATTATATAGTGTAAGATAGCAGTCCAGTTTTATTCTTTACATGTGGCTGTACAGGTTTCCTAACATCATTTATTGAAGAGCGTGTGTCCTTCCCATCATGCTTTTTTTTGCCTCATTTGTCATAAGTTAATTGACCATATAAGTATTGGTTTATTTCTGGGCTCTCTATTGTGTTCCATTGATCTATATGTCTTATTTTTTGTGCCAATAACATACTGTTTTGATTACTATAGCTTTGTAATATACTTTGAAATCAGGGAGTTGTTCTTCTTTCTCAAGATTGCATTGGCTATTTGGGATCTTTTGTGGTTCCATACAAATTTTAAAATTGTTTGTTCTGTTTCAGTGAAAAACTCCATTGGAATTTTGATAGGG